GGGCCCTGTGGTTGCTCTGACTCTTGCAATGACTTCTGCAGTTGCTCCAGCTCCTCTGATGAGCTCTGCTGCTACTCCAACCCTTGCAACAGATCCTATGATTGCTCTAGACCCTGCAATGGGTCAGAGCAATGGCTTTTTGACAGACCCTGCAGTTACTCTAAGCATTCTGATGGGCTCTGTAGGTGCTGTGAGCGTCACAACCAATCCTGTAGTAACTCCAATCCTCGTGACAAAGCCCACAGTTCAATTACAGAATCAATCAGTGCCAGTATAAGTTGTCCCTATAAGCAAGATGAAAAAAAGTGTCAATGAAAGTCAAAAAGTTTAGTTAGGAGAAGTTAGGAGAAGAAGATGAAGATGGAACAGAGCCATCACAAAATCAGGAGGAAGTGAAAGAGATAGAAACTATTCAAATCCTAATGTTGAATGAGCTGTGAGATTTGTAAAGAGATTACGGCTATTGGTCAGGTGAGTACATAGCCACCTGGCTGCTCTATTGCTGTGATGGTGGGGTCTGGAACCTGTATTTAGCAAGCAGTGAAGCCAAGCAGCTGGGATTTCTTCCTAGGGAGTGTGACATTGACAAAGCAATTGGAAAAGGGACACAGACTTTCACCCTGTAGTGGCAACTCTTGTCAACTGTGAGGGAAAGATAGCCCTTCAAGAAATAGTTGGCATTGAACTCAGACAAGTGGTCAATCATGGAGAAAGTTATCCAGTACTTGAGGGAACTAGCTGTGGTAGAGGTAAGGCATGGAATTAACTTTGACAGTAATGCTAACTCCCAAGGTTCAGATGACGTGATATGTATGTGACCTGTGAGAGGCACTGTCATTGTATGCCAGCACCCTGGCAGAAATAAACTGGAATGATAATTAAATGCCAGGTGTGGATGAAGTGGCTAGACTACTTCAATAGTATGTTACTTTCTCTTCCTCCCCATGGGCCTGTGTCTCAGCTGTGGAGAAACTGGTTCAATGGCTCAAAGAAAAAAAAAATTGGTTTAATGGCTTCTCCACCTGTGCAAACCAGTATTTCATCCATTAGAAGTAAGCGTCTCTCTGCCCAGGAAAGTGGATATAGTATGTACACACCATGTACCATCCTGTGCTTTTACCTGCACGACCACAGAAACAATATGAGAAAGTGGAATGGAAAAGCCATCTCAACCCTACTGGCATGACCACATGAATTGCAAGGGAAAACAAATACAAGAGAGGGTCCTTCCAGGAAAATAGTTCCCAGTGGGTGTTCTCCAGATAGAGAAGATGGTCTAATCTTACCTCTGAGGCTGACAATGAGCCTTCTGGTTCTCATGCACAAGGGATAAATAATGAATACAATAACTACAACTGGAGGGGTGCTGCCTCCAGACACATGGAGGAAAGAGGTAATTGGATTTATTGGATTGTGTGGATTTGTTGGTCTGGTACATTTGAACTACAGAAATATGGGCACCTATGCACAGTGTACTCTACTGCTATCAAGTTATAAAGAGGCAAAACCCATCTATATTTCTGGACTGACAAGAGGATCCCAAGATATAAATGTATTAAAGGCCGAAGAGAGACTAACAGGAAATGAGTGGCAAAAGCTGTTCCAGAGGCTCCTTGCATTCTTGATATAGATTATCTCAGGAGAGGATATTTCAAGCATCCCAAAGGGTATCAGTGGGCCTTTTGTATAGCTGCCTTGGAGATGAAGGGCAGTAAGCAGCCGTCTATCTTGCCTGATCTGTCAGAGGACCCTTCTGTTGGAGGGGTGCTAAGAGAAGAAGAACAGCAAGTGCTGATTGCTACTACAGCAGTGCTCCAGTGGGCTCCCAAATTCTCATTCTTCAGCTGATTCACCAATTAGAGAACCAAGGAGTAATCAGCAAGACTCACTCACCCTTCAGGAGTACCATATGGCCAGTGCAAGAGTCCAAGTGGAGGCTAACGGTGAACTATCATGGCCTGAATGAAGTCACACCACCTCTAAGGATTGCTGCACCAGATGTGCTAGAACTTCAGTATGAACTGGAATCAAAGACATCCAACTGGTATGCCACAAGTGGCATCACCTACGTGCTCTTCTCACTGCCTCTGGCAGCAGAGTGCAAGCCACAGTTTGCTTTTAATGGAAGGGGCATCCAGTACACTTGGAATTGACTGCCTCAGAGGGTGAAAACACAGTCTTAGCATTTGCTATGGGTTGATCCACACCGCACTGGAACAGGGGGAAGCTCCTGAGCACTTGACAACATCGTATGGGGCTACATAGCAGAAGTTTTTGAGAAAGGGAAGAAAAAAATTCAAATCCTTTTAAAAGCCGTTTTTGCCATAAGGCTAAGTAAGGTCAAGGGAACTGCACAGGAGATCTTGTTCTTGGGAATAAAATGGTAAGATGAACATCATCAGATCCCCAGAGATGTGATCAGTAAAATAACTGCTATGCCTCCACCAACTAGTAAAAAGGAAACACAAACTTTCCTAGGTATTGTGGGTTTCTGAAGAATGCATATTCTGGGTTAGTGGCTGACTGTAAACCTTCTCTATCAAGTGATCCTTGATAGTTTTACATGGGGCCCTGAGCAACAACATACTTTGAACAAATTGAACAGGAGATGGCTCATGCTGTAGCCCTTGGGCCAGTCTGGGCAGAACAAGATATAAGAAATATACTCTATACTGAAGCCAAGGAGAATGGCCCCACTTGAAGCCTTTGGCAGCACAAGGAAGAAAGAGAGGAAGGGAGGAAGGGAGGGAGAAAATGAGGGAAAAGGGGAGGAAGGGAGGAAGACAGAAAGAGAGAGGGAGGGAGAGAGGAAGAGGAGAAGAGGAAGAGGAAAGGGAAAGGGAAAGAGAGAAAGAAAGAGAAAAAAAAAAGAGGAAGAAAAACAGGAGAAAGAGAAAAAAAGGAGGAAGAAAGAGTGAGAAATAGACAAGAAAGAAAGAAAAAAAGGAAAAAATCAAGAAGAAAGTAAAGAAGGGGAAAAAGAAAAAAAAGAAGAAAAAAAAAACAGAAAAAGCCAGTAACACATGAAATACTTACACAGTTCTTATAGACACTGACTTTTTCATTACTTTATGGATATATAACTGTCAGCAAAGCACTATCAAAAAAACCTTTTTCTATGAGTAGTATACACTGTACAAGTGATAGTACAAAAGGTGATACACAAGATTGAAATCAGTGTCCTATTTCTACTGAATCAATCCAGTAATAGCACTGCTCATTCCAGTTATTGTTAAAACTAGCTGTTGTCTTTTTGAGATATACCTTAGATATATCTTCTTCTATTTGAGAGCTGCCACTGTAAGTAAGGTGGTATATATATAATTCTTCCTTTTATTTCTTGGAGTTTTGTTGTTGTTGTTATAGGTTGGTTGGTTGGTTCGTTGGTTTGTTGGTTGGCTTTTGTTGTTTTGTTGTGTTCTTTTTCTTTTTACTAAATGTGTCTGAAATATCTTTATTTTCTTATTTTATGGCAGTCAGCACTCAAATATCAGATTAACTAGTAAGGAAAGAAGACAGATAAAAATAGTGCATCCGGAGAGCAGTAAATTGTGTAGAAGTGCTCAATTATTTAATAAAGACAGTTATTTATATCAAGAAGGTCTTTATCACGAGTAGAACTTCACTCATTACTATACATCTGAACATAGAGAAATAATGGAACTGCAGAAGTGGAATTTTACGGTAAGCTTTCACTTACAGAAACTTACTACTCACACCATAAACAAACATTACTTTACAAAGACAGTTTTCATTGCCCATTCCAGTTAGTCTTCTTCCGATTGGTGGAAACCAATAATGCCATCTGGTACAGGAAATTAAGAAATTTCTTGATAATGTAGCTACATCTTTTGAAGTTATTAGGACAAGAAAGTAATGTAATCGCTTTGGTAGTATGTAGTGGTATTTTCAAGTAAAGATACAGGTAAACAAGTTGGGCAGGGTGACTGCAGTAGAATTGAAAAAATGCAGAATGCAGATACAGAGTGCAAGTATGATTGCAAACATCCCAAGAGAATTATCTTAGAGATTGCATGTATCTGACAAAGTCATGCACGTGCACGACAGGAAACAGGTCACTCCCCTGACCCTTCGCAGTGATAGAAGCAAGGACTCTTTCCTTTAGCTTTTCTTTCCTCTGAACGTTTCTATACTGCAAGACCCAAGACGCCTTCAGTTCCCTTTGTAACACCAGCACGCACCTCTTTTGCAGTTACAACATCATGAGGAACTCAAACCGCGTCGCGGCGCAGCGCTCATCCGCGCGGCCCCGCGGGCCGCAAGTCCGCCGGTCGGACCTCCGGAGCTGTCCGTGGTGCTGCCGCCCCCCTACTGCTGGAAGGGGACGGAGCCTAGAGCCAGAGAGCTGGGGTGAGCTCTGCGGGCTTCGGTTGGAAGGCGAGTCACCTGTTTCGGGGGGAACTAGCTGTTGGTTTGCTTTTCTTTGGTTTGGCTTTTGTGTTTTTGTTTTTTGTTTGTTTGTTTTCCCTGTTTGATTGGTTACTTGCTTTGTTGGTTTGGAAGGAAAATGGAGATCAGAGTCTCATCTCGCTCCTGGCGGCAGCTCTGTGCCGCTGCACTGAGCAAAGATCGGAAGAGTTTGCAGTTTAAGAGAAGAAGCAGGAGGGATGTGCCAAGACTCGCGTACTGACGGGTACTGAGGGGACGTGTAGGCAGTCTCGGGGTGGTAAAGCACGTGTTAAGAGACCGCTGCCTTAAGGCAAGAAAGGGAAAAATATAGAACAGGGAAAGAAAAAAAAAAAAAAAAAAAAGGAGAGAACGGCTACACAGAATAATCGCCCGGCCGCCCCGGCCGCGGAGAGCAGTGGCCGCGCCACTGCGCCGTCCCATGGCCGCCTTTCCCCGTCGGGGCCGCCGCGATGACGCTAACATCAGTCGCCGGGTGAGGCGGAGCCGGCTGGGCCGGACCGGAGCGGGCACGGCTGGGGCGGGCCGGGGCGGAGCGGTACCAGCTGCGGGGAGAAGACAAGCGGCGGGCGGCTCGGGCACAGCCGTGGCCCCTCAGGTGGAGGAGGCTCCGGCGACGGCACCACGCCTGCTGCTCCGAGGCCGGATCGCGCCGCCCGAGAGCTGCCGGGGGTGCGGGCGCGGAGCGGCGGAGACGCGGGCTCCCATGGGCTGGGCTCCCACCGCGGGTCGGCATCGCTGCCAGCCGCGGGCAGCAAGGGACGGGAGGGCGGCAGCTGCGGCAGGGGAAGGGGTCCCGTTGCCCACAGACACGAGGCCGGGCCTGGCCGGGCATGGCTCAGAGAGCGGCCCGCACGGCTGCGGATGAGCTAGCCAACGCCGCCGCCCGCGGCGATCTGCAACGGCTGAGGGAGCTGCTGGACGGCGCGGCCGACCCCAACGCTGTCAACTCATTCGGCCGGACCCCCATCCAGGTAGGGAGGACGGAGAGGCCCTCCGTACCGAAGGATCGGGGCTGAGGGCCGCGTCCCGGGCAATGGCTCTTCGGCGGGCGCGGAGGCAGCCCCGGGACTGAGTGCCGGCGTCGGCCGTACCCCGACAGCTGTGCTGGAACCAGAGCGGCACCACGGTTCCTGTCAGCCTGGTGCAAAGGGGAAAGTCTACAACCGCCGCAAGAAAGAGGTTTTAGTTTCAGCAACCCTGGATCGCATTATTATCAACCATAGGATGATCAAAACCGAGAGCTTTAATGCTCATCTCGCATTAAATGTGCAATAACAAGTAACGAGTCACCTTTTCAGAGAGATTTATCCCTCCGTCAAATCGGTATCTTCTGCTTTACTGTCTGCTATTCTTCACTACTACTGCACTTACTATTTCTTCTATCTTTTCCCAAATTAATGATAACAACAACAATAATAGTATGGTGGTTCTTATTATATATTCAGGCTTCTCCATCAAATCGGCATCTTCTACTTTACTGTCTGCTATACTTTACTACTACTACACTTACAACTTTTTTTTCTTTCTTCAAAATAATCATCTTCATAGTACGGTGGTTCTCGTGATATACTCGGGGGGAAAAATAAGTAAATCAGTGGTTTGTTCAAAGACTCCTTGAAGCAGAACCAGCCAGTGTACAGTCCTGCCTGGCAGCCCAGCAGACATATGCTCATCAGTCTTCGAGGAGCTGAATCGTAGTGCTGTGAACGCAAAAAAAGCGCCCTCAGGAATTTAAGCTACATTTATAAAGCCGATTTAATTTCTCTGGTCGTTCTAGACAGATTCCTCTTAAATTTTCAAAATAAAACGAAACTCGGGTAATCTGAGAAGCTGTATTTAAGATACGCTGGAATTGTATGCAAAACTCTCTCCATAAAATGTCGGTGCTGCATTTCTCCAGAGGCGCGGATCTGAGACCGCCCTCCGACATGTTTTTTTGGCACCTTTGTGCAGCACAGATTTGCTCCGCGAGCTGAACGCACGGCGCTGGGAAAACGGCGGTTCAGACACCGCCCGTGAGTTCGGAGGCTCTCCTCTGCCCGGGCTTGGTGCCGAACAGAGTGGGAGGGAGGCTGCGGGCAACGACGCTTCCCTGCTCTCCCGAGCCCTGTGGGAAAAGTTTCCCGGGGAGAAGCCGACGACCAGCTTCGTTCTGCGGGCGCGGTTCCGCGCCATCGCGATTCGGGGCCGCGCGAGTTTGCGTGGAGGTGCGTGATGGAAAAGGAGAGCTTCCTCTCTGTCCTCAGCCGCGCTGCCGCACGGATCTCCGCGGCCGCCCCGCGCTACCGCCGGGCCCCGTTCTTCGAAGAGCCCCTGGAGCTCCTCGGCGGCCTCTCCGCCTCCTCCGCTCTGCTGCGAGGCAGGAGCAGAGAGCCCGCGGCTGACGCTGTGTCCGTCCTTCTCCCCGCAGGTGATGATGCTGGGCAGCCCGCGGGTGGCCGAGCTGCTGCTGCAGCGCGGCGCCGACCCCAACCGGCCCGACCCGCGCACCGGCTGCCGCCCCGCACACGACGCGGCCCGCGCCGGCTTCCTGGACACGCTGGCGGCTCTGCACCGCGCCGGGGCGCGCCTCGACCTGCCTGACGGCCG